CTATACTGCAGAATCTTAGAACATTCTAGAAATATTTAAGCTTTGGACTGCAAAACATCGACAAACAGGCAACGTGTGATTTCATCTACAAATATAGATGTAAGAAAAACCATAAAATATCAAATTTTGCTGGACAAAAAGAAATGACTTTTTCAAAATTTTTGTCCCTTAGTGGCCGGATGTATCCAAATGGATACATTCCCATTTTTTATTATTCGGATTTTTTAAATAATCCGTCTTAGTGATCCAATAGACAGTAGGTCTATGAAGGAAAATTAACAACTGCTTGCTTCGAAGTTTGATTATTTAGAGACACGAGAAAAGGATTATTTCTATACGGACGCTATTTTGGAGCATTTTGGATAGAGCCAGCCATTTTCTTAGTGAGTGTTATTTTCTTCTTCTAAACACGTGAATGTGTGTTGAAATGTGTTAGCTTATTTATCAAATCGTCAAAACATTTCATATCATCACTACAAGTTACTTCTTCGTAAAACATTGGCTTCATGTATCCAAATGGATACATCCGGCTGTAAAGGAATAAAGAACTCACATGTATTATTTAGTCTCATTTATAAATAAACCTGTTTGCCTCGTTATCTTTCATTTTCATATTCCGATTCTCTTAATTTAACATTATTATTTTTCTAGTCATTAGTTTAACTGACAAATAAACCTGTCAGACATATTCATAATATTCACAGTAGGTCTCAATAAGCTTAGAAACACTGATATTGATTATTCTTCGAATGTTTTTTATGTTTATCATATAATGATGGTAGCAAAATAATGCATTATCATCCATTATCATTAACATCTTAAATATAAATTTTTATCTGCGCAAAAGCCAAAAATTATATTCATTAGGTCATTCACAAAACGTATTTCAGTCATTGAAATTTCGAGAAAGATTTTGGAATGTGCTTGAATTTTTTTAGAACAAATCTTTTTATCCATTGCTAAGGAATCTGAAATCTATCATCCTCGATTAATGCGGAAATATACCCGAGGAGCATTGTTTTCTCTCTCTTCTCATTGCTAGGATTTGAGGAGAGGGAAGCCGTAAAAATATCGATTGAAACTTACACTCATTAATTCTAGTAAAAAGAAGTTAAATTTTTTTTTTGCTAAATTTATTTTAATCACTCACTAATGTTGAGATTTGACTATTATAGACAGAATTCATTCACAGCTCTTTGTATCATTAGCATAGTTATTAGTCTCTAACTATCAATTTGAACGTAGAGCATATTGAATTCAACAATTTTGAACTCAAAACTGAATCGTACTCTTATTTTCAACGAATTTTTTTTAGTCTGGATCTTCTAATCACTCCGACAATGCTAGGTACTTTTCATTGATTTTGTGTAGCCCCGAACCTGGACTCGAATCTCGATCCGAGAGGCTCTACTGGATTGAGTAGAGCTATCTATAAAGAAACACATCTCGACATGTGGGTCTTTCTCCATTATGAATGAACTCTTGTGAGATAAAAACTTGTATAAATGTCTAGAATAAAGTTCACAAGTGAAGAAACTTCTTCATAAATATACAACTGGATTTTACTGAACATGTTCCTATTTTAGAAAGATCTTTTCATGTATGATCTGTTCGAATGCATACGGCATTTTTTTTTGATCCTATGGTCATGCGAATAGTTTTTTTCTTATAGAAAGGTTAAAGAATTTCTTCAGACCGTGCTGTGTGAAGTGACTTAACAATATATTTTCAATGAAGAAATGCATTTCTCAATAAACTATTCTTTCCTATTAGATATTTCTAATGATTTTTTTAACTTGGAACTCATACATCACTAATATGATAGAAACAAAATCTAAGTTCATACGAAACGTAGATATTAATATAGACAAATACTAAAAAAGAAATCAGCAATTTACACAAGTTATTTCAAAGATAATCGATTTTCATAAGGAGTCTTCTAATATTTTGAAGACTTTACCTCATTATATCGAATGATACGATGAAAATATATAGGTGTTTTTTCTCTATAAAAAGATCTCATATATTTTGAACAAAATAGTTATTATTGATTTTAAAATATTTTAAGCTATTTTAACCTTTCACCCCCCATTGGCAACTAGAATTGCCATTTTTAGAAACATTGCAGAAAATAAAGGAAGCGTCGGATTCAAAAACGATAAGAACTTTTTTTGTAGTAAACATCATGAACTATCAATTGGTAAAAAGAATATTTCTTTTCATTGCTCCGTCTTTGAAATATCGGGCCTTCAAAACCGATAATTTTGAAAAAAATTGAAATTTTTCAAATAAAATATTCTATAACCCATAGGCAATAGAGATCTTTTGGAGTTTCTGTCCAATATTAATTGATGAAGACGTGCACTAATGAATAAAATATGTTTCAAAAGTTTCATGATAATTTAACGAATTATACATGCTCAGACATTCTATTGACCATATAGCCACTATTGGACAGAGGGAAAACAATCAAGAACAAAGTTAATACATGGATTATAAACCTCAACTCATGACAAATTAAAATAGTATCTATTATGAATTAAATTTCTTCTGAGATCATAAAATGGCTCAGAGTAAAAAAGACTCATTTGACAACACATGTAAAAAAACGCATGTATTCTTTGGTAATAATTTTTATCGGTTCACAACTGTTTCTTTTATCATTATTTCTAAAGCACGGGATATATGTGGCTTCTACTCACTCAATAGTAGAGTCAAAGGAAAAAAAAACCCAAGTCTCATGATGTTGTTCAATTCACTCTTTCCACCATATGATCGTTGAATCTTCTCGAGCCGTCCTACTCTAGGAGCAGGACATTGGGCGGATCAGATCACCTCATTGGCATATTGAATAGGCTAATACTTTATTTATAAAGTGATTTTATCAGTTGCTCTTCTGGAGTCGCTATGGGAGGTAAAGAGTCAAGATCTTTGATGATTGATGAAATGATTTTAAATAGACAATATACTTTATTAATAAATTTTATTGAGATATGACAAGAAAAACGATAGTTAATAATAATAATATTTTATTTTAAAAGAAACATTATACAAATTACAACAATAAATAAATGAAAATTCATTGATATAAAACTTATTCCTTTTGATGTTGAATTTGATCCTGCTAATTTAAAATAAAATTCGTTTGCAAGTAATGTTTGCATTACTGATGTTAAATGATATTCATCAGTAAATATTTTTTTTGTTATATTTTGACATCTTATTATAACAAGTGAATCACTTTGTGTATCCCAACAATTATCTAAATTTTCAAATCCATAATTTATATAATTATCCAAAATTTTTGATATAAATGTATAACTATCAAATAAACGTATACGAAGTCGACTATAATTTGATAAATAAATTTCATTTATTCTTTGTGATAAAATTTCATTATGTTGAATATATAAATATTTTGTTGTATTTGTTGTATTTTTATTTCGAAATCCTGGATATCGATCAAAAGGTGGTTCATTAATAATAACTAAATTTCTTGCACCAAAAAATATTAATAAATTTAAACATTTAATTATACTTTCAACAGTTTGTAATGGTGTTAATGATTCATTAAAATAATAATTATTACTACCAACCCAAATAACATAGAGTGTTTGATCAAAATCAATTGTTTCATTTATTGTTTTACTAATATATTGAAATATTTGTTGTCGAACACTTGGTGGTATTGTACTATTTCGAATTAAATAATCAACAATTAAATTTGGAGAACGATCCATTGTACCTTGAACTAATTCATTATCAGTTGTAGCACTACCATAGGAATAATCTTGTAATGTAGTATTATGTAATAATTGTTGAGTTAATATTTGATTCCAAAGAAGATTATCTGCAAAACCACCATTTGAATTGAATGGAGGTACAGGTGGCCATGTATGATTTGAGATTCGATATGCATTACCGGTATCACTTGTCGAATCACCAAATGTAACAACAGTAGTATAATATAAAATACCTTAAATAAATACGGGGGGGAAAAAAAAACATTCTTTCATATTTATTCTTGATAACAAAAAAAAAATAAAAATCTTACCATTAGAAGCAATTATACAATAGATTAATGAGAAAATCAAGGCAATGTTAAATAGTAATTTCATTTTAATAAACGATTCTCTACCATGAAATTCTTAGTGATATTTATTCCAGTTTCTTGTTTTTTTTTTTTACTCTGTTAAATGTCAATAGAAGTCGAGGTTCAATATAATTTCAATGAAATTATTTTCTGGTTATAATCAAATTATGTGTGCACGACTATGTCCTAAGTCGACAAGCATCATATTTACAAATGATAAAAAAATGGTTATTTTCTTTATTGCAAGTGATTGTGTCACGAGAATGAAGTAAACATATGTATTTGAATATGTGTTAAATCATTGTATCGGAAATAATTTTGTAATGAAAAGTTAGGCGTAATAGAAAAACATTTTATTACGCTTTTTTTAAAAAATGAATCATTGTATGTGTGTGTTTCTGTGATTGATTTGACATCATTTATTTCTTAATCAATAATAAAAATTCAGTTTTCATTTGACTATATCGTTTAAATTTTATTAAGTTTTTGTTTTTCAATCATTCATATTTCAAAAACAAATATTTATTATTATTAATTTCTGTTATTTTTCGTTATGGTAATATTATGAATTATTGATGAATTTATTTTAGTTAAATTTATTAATATGATTTAACAATTTCTCAACAGCAAATTTGATTATTCTTCAATAGTATTATCCATTATTATTATTTGATATAATGAAAACATTCATAGAAAAGTCGACAGCTATAAAAATAACAACAATGTTACTATTGAGTCTTATCTATTCTTGCTGAACCTAATAACGAAAGAATTGTAGCTGTTTTAAACATTTGAAAAGTTGACTACAACTTTCTTAAACTTTATAGAATGGGATTATTTCATGCATGAAATAGGAATTGAAAGTATCGAAAAATCTTCATTAATATATATGAGAAGTCCAAGTATTTTTAAATTATCAAAAACTTTTTCAAGCAACAGAATTCAGAATCATTTATTCAAATTTCTCAAATAATTACATGTACTTTATTACTTTTGTTGATAATAAATAAACTTGAAAAGCTTTTGAAAATATTATCACAAAGGCAGAACTGGTCTCATGACTTATTCGATGATTAAAACTTAATAATGTAGAAAACTTTGTGTAGTCTTCAGGAATGAAAAAAGATTTGTCTATATTTCCTAATGAAACTCGATAGTCATGACATTGATTGACAGTTTTTGCGAGCGTGGTTGCCTTTAACGACGAAAATGATTGACAAGTTTTTCTGATCTTAATGCGACAATATTTTGCTAGAAAAATCTACATGACAAACAAGAATTTTTTTTTGAGTTCTGTATAAATATGTGAGCTTGAGGGTGTAGGTGAAGAGAAAGTGAACACCTACAAACTTCGATCTACATCGACGCCCAAATTCACATTCATTGCTACGTATACTCGTCTCAATTAATTGCTGACAAGCAAGAGATAATACTATAGCAAATTGATTTTTATCATAGATATACAGGACAACCTGCTTTTCAAAACATATCGTTACAATGTAGATCTATATGTTTTAGATTTATGTCAATTGACACAGATAAACTATTTGATAAGACTCTTGATTAAGATAGAAATATGTGTCATAGTAGTTTGTCACACATCCACATCCAATCGGTCTAATCAGTGATAGTTAATATCAAAATATTTTTCTTTGTATACTAATAGCCAAAAGAATTTTTATTTTGTTCATTGGATAAATATTGATATTAAGAATTGAAATGTATTCTATATTCTAAATACGAAAAAAACCCATGCAATAAATATTCTATTTGTTGTGATATAGCCCAATAATAAAAGTTTGGATTTAAACAATAATGAATTAAATCTAAAAATTTAGGACTTATTTGTATTAGTGTTATTGTTTTCATATTTGGATCAAAATAATGATCTGTACCCGTAAATAAAAGATTTAATATTAAACCAAATGTAAATACATTTAGTTTTTGATTATATATGTGTTCGAATAAAATTCAGACAACATATAACGTATACATTCCATTGGTGCATGCCTAAAACAAAGGATAAATATGATATAATTGTGATATATCCATATCACCTATTTTAGCTCTATAACCATTGTTAATTAAAATATTGTCTGGACATATATCGCAATGAATTACACCGTGTCGATGAATGTAATGCATACCTGATGCTATCTCACAAGCGATTAACATTATTTTTTTTCTATAGGTTAATTGCTCATATTCTTGTTGTAAAAGCTTTGTTAAACTACCTTTTGGCATATATTTCATAATAATTAAAAGACACAAGTGATCTAATGATAGTATTTTATAAGACCAACCATACATTGGTAAGATAGATAATCCATAGCATATGGCATAGCAGCCCGCTATTTCTTCAAGAAACATGCGTACTGTTGAGTGAGCATGTGGGTCTACATTTGAGTCTATATCAATACATTTACATGCAACTGTAGAATTTCTTGATAACCAGAGTACTTTGTAGACCACACTTATAGATAATTTTTTTGATTAGAGGCGAACTAAATTTTCAATGTTTTTTTTGTTGCATGCTTACCAAAAGCACCATTATCTAATTGGTTTTGAAGATAAATGTCATTTCGAGCAATTTCATTGAGTGTCATTCTTGTATCTGAGAAAAACTAATACTGTGATTTTCTATTTTTGTTTCTGGTAGCGTAGAACTATTTGATTCGAATTAGATTTTCAACTAATTATTTAATTTTTCAACTGTTCAACTATCTCAAATCTTAATTCTGTTTATTCCTTGAAAAACTTTCTAAGGTTCTTGAATATGAAGAAGCCTGTTAAGATTTATTCGTATCTTACCCTCAATCCTAGTAATTCCTGTTTTCAAGATGTCTCATGATGAAGCATGATACTTTGCCATATTTTTTCAAGTTCCTGCTCAAATTTTCTTCTTAACAAAGATTTTAGTATTATTATTATAATTGATTTTCGATGGCAATCGAAATTATGACGGACATAACAGAAAGGATTTTTTTTTTGTCATGAATTTATCAAGTTTAGCTCAATATTTATTGAGGAATTTCATATTAAGACCTAGTTAGAAGTTGTAGCTACATCAAATAAGGATCTTATTCAAGAATAAAACAAGATTAATGAAAATCCTAAACTGGTGAATCTTGTTAAAATTCAATCAGAACCTTGCTACGATTCCTTTTACTTTCTATACGAGAATCTCGCCATGATTCTGTTAGAAACATTCACAGAATCAATGAAAAGATTTTATCAAGATTTTAGCAGGCTTTAGTTCCTCGGTATGCACCAATCTCAGTTAACTAGATACCAGTCCAATTGGATAACAGATAGAACCGATCTTAATCTTTAACGGACAGTACCGACACTGGCTTCATCTCTATAGTACTATTTGACATAGTCAACTTTCAACAAAATTTCATTATACATCCTAAATGCGTTACTATGAAGATCAATAGACGTTGTGAATAAGTGCATATAAAACCAGGAAAGTAAATAAGATAGGCTTTTTCAATGGATCCATTTACCGACGATCAGTCAGTAATCAGTACAAGTTCTATCTCTGACTGAGACTCTCGATTTCATCTCGGTCTCGGCATATGCCTAATCTATACAGGATCTTTGTCGAATATGTCAAAAATCTAATCCAAAATACACTATGAATTATTCCTAGGAATTCAACTGTTTAACGTTCAACTTGATTTCTCAACTTGTTCATATTTTTTATTAGTTTCTTGAAATTAATATAACTCCTCAACTAATTCGATAGGACAAATTATAAGCATGATGAACACAACGACTATAATGATCATATTATTCATGAAGGATAATATGACTTATGTGTCTTTTTGCACATATTGTTACTCAGATAATGTGATCGAGTGTATTTCTTCTCACCGCTATCCTTGTCTCTTTCTTATATATTGCTATGCTATACAGAAAAATGAGTAGAATTGGTTTTTATGACCGAATCTTAAACTGGTCAATTCGGAATTTACAAGTATTTGTTTTTTTTACGCTTGAATAGCATATTTATAATGGCGATCGCTGGCTTGCTTATTATTATTATTAAAAGAGATTCTGAAAACGAAAGATGCAGACTTTTATAGCTAAAAAAAAAGAAAATAGTACCGTTGATCGGATTTTGGTTGATTACTCAACACGTTAACATGTTGGAACAAAAAACGATTTCTTCCTTCCAACAACATCAAATGCATCATATTTGAAGCTATTAACATTTCTGTGTGTAAAGAGAGTGAATGAAAGACAGAACAACAAATCAAATATGTTTTTTGTATATTCTTTAATGAGAAATACAAGAGTCAAAAAGTAAACAGACTGCGCTCTTTTGTACCTGTGTGTGCATAGAGAGATGAAATAAGACATGTTGAAGAACGATATTAGAAAACATTCTCGGCATCATTAACGAGGATGATTGCTTGTCCGTGATGTCCGATAGTGTGTGATAATAAAACCAACGGAATATGAGACATTTTGTTCAACAATCGTTCATCTGTCAAAGACAAAGAACGACTCGGACCGTTCTTTAATAGAAAAAATTATTTGTGCAAATTGCATTCGTTCAATCTCAATCAAGAGAGATATGAAGATCTCTGATATTTGATCTCCTTCCAAATGTTTTGTTGCTTGTTTCTGACGGAAAACATTCACAAATTGTCATTGATTCTTCTCTTTACTATTGAGTCTGATATTCTCAAAGATAAAGGTGAATTCTTTCATCATATTTTCGAAATGAAGTTATAAAATTTCAATGTCGTTTGAAGCAATCGGGCGGATACAAATGTGATTATCAAATCTAACCAACTAATCTTTCAAAACTGCATCAAGTCTGAGGTGAACTGTGGATTCCTTTTGATTTTCTACTCAAGGCGCTCGAGTTGACGATATCGACATGAGTACTTGTTATCACGAGAGAACAATCGAAAAATGCTCCTAATTCGATTTTCTAGAAAAAATTCACGACTTCCCTTGTTCTGTCAGATGAGTATGAAGAATGTTATAGTGTCGATTTTTGATGGTGTG